CCCCAAAACCCCAAAACCCCATTGTTCATTTATCAATTATAGTTTCAAAAATAAGTATCAAAGTATTTAAATTCTAAAATATTTTATTTAAGTAGCAGATAAGAATTATCAAGCTTATATATATATGAGGCAAAACCTTTTCTCTACTTTTCTAAGAAACTTTAAAAGAATCGATCAGTATGGTCATAAAATTAGATTATTATACAAAGGTTCAGAAACTAAGAAGACAATATTGGGTGCAATTTTTACCTTGCTATCTGTTGCTCTGATATTACTTTATGCAGGTTTTCAACTTAATGACATATTTTAAAATAAGTGTACAATTAAATCAATAATAAGCTATGATGACGTTTCTAACCAAAGTATACCTATAAGTTAATAAATGTTTGATTGGGCTTTTGCTATTGAGCCTCCTTCGGAATGGATAGTATAAAATAAATCAGTAAATATGTACTAATATTTCTAAATCTAAGCAACAATTTCAACAATAGATAGTGAAATATGATAAGAATTGATACGATGTGACAAAAATAGATTATTCAATTCGAGCAAATTTCATGAAGAATTCAATTTTCTTAATAAAATTGGCGTGGAATTATACTGCATGAAAAGTAAAATTCCTGTCGAATTCAAAGGTGATACTCAATATATTTCTCTCTATTTAAGTCCATGTGATCAAAAACTTCTTGATTCCAAGTACCCTGGTTCAGTTTGCTAAAATGAGACTGAAAAAGTTAAATATGCAGTCTCTAATTCTTATCTAAGGGTTATATTCACTAATAGATACTTTGATGTAGAGGATTTTTCAGATAATCCTGTCAAGACAACAACTGAATCATATAGCTTCTATATTAACAGGTCTACAATGAGATTACAGACCTTTGCGATGAATAGAAATAAAGCGATAGGATCAAACTCAATTATTCATGAATCTTTAGGGTAATTCCAATATGAATTTATCTAAACTGATGTAAAGTCACTTACCAACATAGAAAGATCAGATTCAAATGATTACATGGTTGTTAGATTCATGATTGAAAACAATCTAAACATAGTAGAACGATAAATAAATAATTTCTTATAATTGCTATCTTCTACAGGTGGATTGCTTGGTTTGCTTACTACATTAGTAAGATCTTTAATAGAACCTTTCCAAGAATTTTCATTTGCATAAAGCATAATAAAAACAAGATATCTAATAGATAAGAATCTAGATTAAAACTTGAAAAAGAAATCTGGAGATAAGATCTAACTAATGCTCAATGAAGCAAAAGTAAATTCTTACCTTGAAATGATAAAAACTCTTAAATCTAGGATACCATTTATTTACTCGACAAAAGAAGCTTTATAGAGAATTTTATGAGTAATTTTATGCAATAAAAAGTAAATAAAATCTTAAAGATATGAGCTCTTCAACTTTGGAAAGGAGTAGATTAATAAAGCTTTAGATATTTCATAACTAATAAAGCATTTGAGAGATCTTAAAATGCTTAAAAATATGATGCTTTAAAAATATTAAAAAAGATTAATACCATACTTCTTCGAGAATCTCATTACGTCTTCCTATTAAAAAAAACTAGAGAAGTCATAATAGCTGAATAATAAAAGTAAAGAAGATTAAATCTAACTTGGAATAGCAGCGATCATGATAGAGTTATTTGCTAACCAAAAAGAGAGTGGTAATCCTTACAATTAAACTATTGTGAACAGTCTATTCAATCTACTTTTTATTATCCACAACTTAACCATTAGAAAATAGAATCTTTATAGTAAAAAATGTTCGTTGGAATTCTTAGGCGATATGTTATTCAAAATCTAGGTGGTAACGAAGTTGATAATTAAAATATAACAAGTTAAAACTAAGATTAAAATAATCATTTATTAGATACATAGAAAAGTTCTTCAAAATAACCTTTCAAAAGAGTAAAGTTAGAAAGTGAAGTATTTGAAACAACTTAAGTAACAAAGGAATATAACCGAGTTTCCTTCATTCGGCCATTTAAATTTGATGATTTTTAAATTAATAAAAGATATAAAAGTTCAAGGAGAGTTGATGATACATCTTTAAATATAAGTATAGACTCATCGCTGGATAACGATATGCAAGTTAGTTCAATAAAATATGCTTCCCAGTTTTAATAGAATTCAAACTGAAATTTATTGCTATTAGATTTTAACAATTCGTATTTTTAATGATTATTTCTTCAAACAAACTCATTTTAATTTTGATTTTTGCCAATATTTTTACGATGATTATCAAGATGGGGTTTTGGGGTTTTGGGGAGATCGGAAGAGC